ATATGCATATATGCATACATAAATATACACCTTTTTCAGAAATGGACACCATAGGATTTCTACATTTAAAAACCATTTCACTTCTTTGTGAATTTTAATCCATTTTTTGAATTTTTTTCTCAACAAAAACAAAGACGAAGGAGAGGCAAATCAAGCAAACACTTACCAGTTCAAGTTATCAATAAAACACAGTAGAAAGCCCATAGTCTGATACATTTTTCCTGGCTTCATCTTTGTGTGACTTAAGTAGAACAAGTCACTTTAGCTGATATAATAAAGGTTGTTGGGCCTTTCTCATGATAGACACTGTTCTCAGCTGCTTACAACTTTAACTCTTTAAGCTGTATATTTCTCTGTATGTCTTCCTTAAGATGCTTTTTATTTTTTCACATTTACGTAATTCTACTCTTTCTCTGAGCAAGATTAAAAGGAAATGTGTGTTGCACTGCCTAATCTAAATCCATACAAAAGCTTTCCTTATAAACTTGAGTGTTGGCTCAAGGTATGTAGTCTACAGCAGTGACCTAGCAGTTGACAGCTTGTCTCCCTAGAGTCAAGGATATATTTCCTAATGATTTTGAGGAAAAACAAAACCAAAATCATATTAGCCAAATTATAATCATTTTCCAATCTGAAAAAAAATGGTTTCCACGTGCTAATATATACACATCTAAATCTAAGTATCTAAATATTTTACTGCATCTGGCTCAGGACCCAACATTCCAATTTTCTCTCAACTTCTAATGAGATCTGTGAAAGCATTACTGCTTAATCACCTATTGGCCCTCCCCAATTTTACTAACATTTAAAACTTCTTTTTTAATAGAATTTGACCAGACAAGCAATACACAGACTGTTGAACAAAGATTTCCCAAGTACACACTACATTATATAAAATACATGCTACCAACCCAAATAATGCTAATGCTCAGATATATGTCCTGTAAGTAAGTTTTTCCAAGCACTAGAAATTGGGCACGTTTGTACGTTCAGAGCTGACATTTTCTCCCAGGGTCAAGCACTCAGGCTTTGCTTGGAAATTTACAGTGTCATCAGGCATGACAACTGAAAACCTTGTACATGACATGGACAGACAAACTTCTGACAGTATTACTTAAGGAATTCAGCTTTGCAAATACTGGACATCAATGTTTTCTTTCATATAATTTTATTTTTGGCAAATAACTTGATTATACAGTAAGAGTATGGTATTCAGAGGGTCAGGCATCAATATAAAAGCTAATCAGTGGATCAGATAAGTTGAACCCCAAGCCACAATTAAAAAAAAAAAAAATCAGTTAATCAGTTAATTTTGCTTTTTTGCAAATATTATCTTGCCTGTTAGCAATTCAGACTTCACTACATCCCAGAATGTCTGAGTACTGACATGAATGAAATTAAGTAGCATAATGATTGTCTTCTTTGTATAATCCTATTTTTATAATTTATATTCAAAAGAATCTAAATAATGCAAGGATAGTAGGGCAGAAGTCACTCTACAAACAAAATAAATTAGCCTCAACACCGGAACTTAAAACATATTTTAAGAATTGAAATCCTGGAAGACACATATCCTACTCCAAAATATAAGTAGCTCTGCTTCAAGTGTAGAATTAGTCCTCCACTTAAACTTTTGCAGAGCCTCATAATATTCCACCATTGCCACAAACTGCTTGTGCCCAGAGATTTTCAGGACTAATCCTATTGCAGCTTTGCCCTATGTCCAGACTATTGCATTCCCCTTCCTGCCATTACACACTTGTATTCTGCATTTGAATATCTTCAGTTTTAAGCTTCTGGTGTATGTGCAAACCATCAGTTACTCTCTTCACTGAGAGAGTGCAGATAGTGACAGGTTTGTGATTTTATTCTATTTATAATAAAATATTTTTTTCTTTAATTGAGACAGCAATTATTATGATTGCAATTGAATTTAATTTATCTCCTTAAAAAAGTTCTGTGGTTATCCAGAACATAATGTCATTACAAGTTTTACAGAGCAGAGACCTATAATGAGGGAGAAAGAAATGCTTGAAAGGCAGATTTATGAACTACGGGTAATAAATGTTGCTGGATCCTGAAGCACTCCTACTGCAATTACAGGTAGCTATTTTCAAGGAAGCCTAGGATTCCCAATAAAGTTTAAGCACCACCAGCTTTAGGAGGCATCACATCGTGTTGGCAGGCTGGTGCCTCCCTCCCCTTCAGGGAGGAGCCTCTAGCAGGTACCTCCTGCCTCTTCCTATTCACAGGGGCACACAGTTCAGGCTCAGCTGGCTCTGACAAATCATTGGGCAGATACTGCTCCTCACCCACCCTGCCCAGGGCACTGCACCACTTCCAAACTTGCGGGTCTGCGAGTGAAGTGGGATCCTTTCTCCTACTGCTGGAAGCCACAAGCTGCAAGCTTCTTGACAGCTCCCCTCCGCGACCTGCTTGACAATAGTCTCTGGTTATCCCTCCCGTCTCAAGCTGTGTGCCTCTCATCTCTGCAAACTTCAGCAAAAACCCTGTCACTCCCCTCTTCCTTGGAAGCAACTGCTTGCTATTGCACTGAGAGCCACAGGAGCTTTCAGCAGCACTGCGGCTGGGGGGTTAGAAAAGTCACGATGGGGAGAGCTGCTCGCCGCCACCACCACCACCACTGACCCCAAAGTACAGAGACTGCCTTACAAGCCCTATAGGGAATGAAAAACAGAGCTGAGGGAAGCAGAGAATGTAGATTAAGCGCTTCTGGTTTACCTTCCTCATAGCACAGACACAAGAAGTGATTTAACAAGGATGGAGGAAGATAAATTACCAGTAGACAGGCTAGGCAGATTTGGATCACTTACCGCTGCCAGAAACTGACACGAAGGGTTTATTATCTTTCTTCAGCATAATCCAAGTATTTATTTCCAGACCCCACCTGCAATTAGCACTGCAGTGTCTTAGTAACATGTACATTCACTTTTGTTCTTGGATTATAGTAGTGATCAGATACACTAAACTAACCAGTGCACCAAAAACTGCACAAATAGTGAGACGGCAATACAGTTGTCAGAATTAGAATGTCAGAAAAGAAATAATTATGTGGAACATTTAAATCTCAGATATACAACAATTGCATTATTTACTGCTGCACAATTAATTTGCACTGATGTTATAAAAAAAATAACAAATTGCTACTGCTTATATAGCTTCTGTAGGCTGTGCAAAACTGCAGAAGTCAGCAGTACAGATACACTGGCCATTAGGAAATAGCTGGCCACTGTAACTCTGTGGTCTAGGAAACACTATGTGAAATTCTGTACACACTTAAATAAATCTGGTTGATATAGGTGAACTAAATTACCATAAAGGCTGATTTATTAATTGGGAACAAAACATTACTGTATGAAACCTTCATTAAAAAGCATTTCACTGTGACTAATGTTAGTATATTGTTATGTATGATCTTAAGCATTATTAAGAAGGCATCTGACAAATGATTACTGCATGTCTTCTCATTGCCTCTCAGTAAGGTGTATTTGGTAAACTAAATGAGGTCCTACCTCTAAAGCCCTCAACCTTTTCTATGACAAATGCAAAATCCTTTAAGACACATGCAATCCAACTTACGGTGGCAAAAATCAGCCTGAGGAAAAGCATAAATATATCATTTCCATGGTACTTTACACAGTGCTCTAGAGTAGTTTCATGGATTGGTTCTCCTAACAGTTCTTGCTAGATGGTCCTTATACACAGGTAGACAGATGGATTTTGTAGACTTAGGATAATTTGAAGCACGTCACAGTAATTAAGCATGTGGCATTTTTCTTTCTTTTAATTCTGTCAGTTCTGTGACAGCAGGAATTATCACACACAGCACATAACAAGTAAAATCTTCAGATGTGATGCTGTGATATTAACATGGAACTAGAACAGGACCAAATCCAGAACAAGATAAGAGGTTATCTGCCTTTCTCATGTAGGAATTGTTGGAAAGAGGGAGAGAGAGAGACCAATAAAATTACAAGCCAAGTTTGCCCATTCACAACTTCAGAAGTTTTATAAGCGTTTAAGAACCCATCTATCACAAAAAAAAAGACAAATGCAGGTAATAACTCAATTTTGTGAGTTCGAAAGCACCACTATGAGTGTCTTTGTTAAAGGGATGTTTAAAAGAAGCTATAAAAGAATTTGACCCTTATCCTCATGCAGTCACCTAATATTCCTCCCAAGTGTCACAGGTTTATCAGCAAGCATTTGCTTAGATGCTCTGTGATTTACAGTCTAACAAAAGGAGAGGAACTGCCCTGCAGAAATGGCCTAGGCTATGGAGAATATCTTCAGGGACCAAATATCAACTCACATACACTCTAGAAGGAGCAGGGATCTGGAAGATCCAGCCTACATCATAGCTACTCTCAATGTTCATTAAGTAACCACCATATGATATTTCACAAGTGTTTGATTGCATTATGCCATTTCTAAGAGGTCATGTTCAATTATCATATAATGATAAACTGATTATGAAAACATAAAAATAAGGAATCAGATATTACCAATATTTCCACAGCATGGATGAAAATACACATACCTATCAGACAAAATTAAAGCAGCAGTAGGTGCCAACGAATTGAAAAAAGACAGCTACCAGCAGAACCAGTTATAAATAAAACAATCTGCAAAACAATTTGAAAATGACTGCATTAAGAGCATGAAAAATAGGATGTCCAAGTAGAAATCTCATTATATGTTCTTCAAAACACTGTACACGTTTGCATGTAAAGTTTTCGGTCAAGATGCTGTTCTACAATATTTGGCATATGCTCTGATGCTTTATACTGTACCCAGCATACTGTGCTGTATAAATTAATCATGCTTTACAAGCTATATAAAGCCTGTATGCCAGGAATCCATGTGCATAACCGTTCTGTATTTAAACAAACAAAAAAGCCACTACAGAAAATATTGCCTTCTCAAATAAGTAAAATGTGGTTTCAAATCTCATTATCTTTTTCACCCTTCTCTTACAGGATCACAACAACAGCTGCTTGCATGATGGATCTACGCAGATATCCTCTGGATGAACAAAATTGCACACTAGAAATTGAAAGTTGTAAGTTACTGGAGGGAGAGGGTTGGCCAAATGACAGCTGTGGATTGAAAGACATTCACAGGTTAAGTAAAACAGGAGCAAGTTGTGTGAGCTTGCACACTGAAGATACCCAATTTATTTCTATAATACATAAGCCAAAATATGTGTCGTGGTTTGGGCCTGGTTGGCAGCCAACCACAATGCAGCAGCTCTCTCTCCCTTCCCCTCCGGCAATGAGAAGGGACAGAGAGCCAGGCTTGGGGTTCGAGATAGGACTGGGATGGGGAAAAATCCCCCTTTATGATCACGAGCAAAAGGCAGACTCGTTAGGGGAAGAAAAAAAGAACATACATTTATTACAGACACTAACAACACATAACAGAGTAGGACAGTGAGAAGCATTGCCACATCTTGAGAACACCTTCCCCCCACCCCTCCCTTCTTCCCGGGCTCAGCTCTGCTCCCGATATCTCTACCTCCTCCCCCAGTGGCGCAGGGGCAGGGAATATGGGGTGCAGCCAGCGCTGCCACTTCTTTCATCTTCGGTGAGGGGAGTGTCTGAAACTTGTTCCTCCTGCTCCATCGTGGTCCCCCTCTCACAGGAGACAGTCCTCCACAAACTTTCTCCAACATGAATTCCTCCCATGGGCCGCAGCGTTCCCCAAACTGCTCCGTCATGGGTCACTAAATTTCTCCGACTGGATTCCCTCCCACGGCTGCAGCCCTTCCCGAGCTGCTCCGGCGTGGGACTCCCCCGCATGCTGCAATCCTCCCAGAGCTGAATTACAGCAGCGGGGCTACCTTTTCCCATGAGACCCCGGCCTTCTTCGGGCACAGAACCTTGATCAGGCGAGCAGGAGCAACAGGCCGTAAATCAATGTCTGCTCCACCGTAGATCTTCATGGGTGGCAGGGGGGGGCCGCCCTGCCGTCTCACCACAGGATACAGGGGGGTCTCTGCTCCGGCACACCTCCCCCCTCCTTTCTTCCTCCGTTCCTCCACTGACCTTGGTGTTCATGCAGCTACAGCAACTCCTCCTCACAAGTCCCACTGCCTGTCACCACGTCCCTTCTTAAATACATTATCGCAGAGGCGCAGCTGATTGGCTCAATTTCCCAAACAGAAGTGGAGCTGACTTGGAGCTGGGGGAGCTTCGAGAAGCTTCTCACAGGGGGCCACCCCAATAGCCCCCTCCCCTGCCACCAAAAATCTCCACCACTCACTCAACCCAGGACAATATGTTTAATTAACATTGTTGGTTGATCCAAGCTTGTAAGATGTCTTTCAAAATTTCTTGTCGAGGAAGGGAGAACAGTAAATCAGAGGACAGCAACCAAGCACTGCTCATCCTCAGTACCTAATCACTGCAGAACCTGAATTAATTACTTCACCTCAGTGCGTTCGTCTCTAACATCAAGATTAACATCTGCCCCACATGGTGGTGGCAGGATTGATCAATTGCTCTCATCAAAACACTCAGAGATTATAAAAGGAAACAACTTGATCCTTCAGCACCAAGGTTAATGAGAGCTTTGCCATTGTCTTCCGTGAGCACAGGATGAAGGTGTGCACCTGCAAATTTTTGTCACTAACATAGTCTTTGCATCTTTTATGATGCTAGCCTTTAGAGAAATGCCTATCAAGGTTTTTGAAAAGAATATTTATTCTGTCGTTGGTCAAATCAGCTGCTGCCACTAACCACAGAGCAGCCTGTAAACAAACTGGTTAAGACTACAGAGCATGCAAGGCAAAATAATGCAGCAGTTTTATAAGAATTTCCATTTTTCACATTATGACACATGCACTGTTAGAGTTAACCAGTCTTTTTTTCTTTTTTTTTTTTTTTTTTTTTGTAATAATATTTCTCTCTAAAGCATGAGGTTCTAGAAAGGATTAACAGATTTCCCCAAATACGGTATTTTGGTTCAGTTTACTGAGGAGAAAGAACAATTTTAGCATTTGAACCTCTGCTTTGATGGATAGTCTGAAGAATTAAATAAACAGGGAAACAAGCTGATCCAGGATTAACCAAAATAATTTCCTAATATGTATTTCATCAACAAAAGCAATGTTTTCATTGTTTGTAGCACATCCCACTCAAGGAACTAAAAGTTATCAGAAGTCCAGCAAGTATAGTTTTCATTCTGCAGAAACTCATGATATAAGATTTTGCTGTGGACTGAAAAGAGGTTAAATTTCCCAAAGCCTCACAGCATCAGTTTTCATAAGGATTCCATTAGTCTTCAGTTGCTTAGATTTGACAAATAAAAACATTTTCACGGTGTCAAAACAAAGGAATATTCATGTATAAAACATTTAATAGTATTGTAACACAAATATAAAATAAGGAAGTCTAAACCAAATAAGACAAAATCACTTTGAGCCTTAGAAATGTTGCTGGGAAAGATTTCAGTTTATTCTGAACTGCTGAGGTTTTCATCAGTTGTGTTAAATATAAATTTAATCAGTTAAATATAAATTTAATATATCTCAACATATCTGTGAGGTGGCAATTTTTAGGTACTGAAAAAAGCCTACAGTCAGTCCAGAGCATTATTGAGAGACAAGATGGGGTCTCAGCCCAATGTTTATAATTTCTACTTGGTGGCACCAGAAAGATGCCTTGTTTAAAGCATTGAAAAGGGCACATACCTTCAAAATTACTCTCCATAATATTTTGCTTCTTTGTAAGTGCACAACTAGTATCGGCCTCAGTGTAAGTCAGTGGAGGTGCAGCTTTTAATTTAGATTTTAAATTGTTTAGTAAGAAACTTTAAATATTTCCCTGAGAGTTATTTGGTTTAGTTCCTTTTCCTGGAATGTCATTTCATAGTGATTTTAGAAATTCTCTACCAGGTTGAGACAATAAACTTTTTATTCCACCAGAAAAGATTTAAATCAGGTAAACACTCACAGGAAGCTTAATGAAAAATATTTTTTATTAGAACAGAACAGAATCTGCTCATTTATTTATTTAGAGATTCAAAAATGATGGTTTTGATTTTTAAGATCCTAGTGTTTTGGCACTGCAGGCAGACATCTCGGAAAGAGAAGCAAGGAGACTGTTGTCAGGGTTCCCTGTGAAGCACCTCAATAGCTGCAGTTCCAAGTCACCGCAATAGCTTATTCTCTGTCCATCGTTCAACACGTACAAGGAATTCTCTGGAAGGACGTGCTGGATATGCACCAGATTAAACCCTCTTAACAGACGCAGTAGTGTGGCAAGCTGGGCCAAGTTGATGTGCATGTAATGAATACCTGTGTTAGACCAACATGCATTAACTTTCCTTGCACATCTGCCTTCAGTTAACCTGTCCATACCTACAGAGCTCTGAGTTGACTGAGGCACCACAAACCCACAACCCTGTGTATGAACACATATACAGCCATTTTCTTCTCATTCCCAAGAAGCAGAGGCATTAGGTAATTGTAACTTCCCTTTCCAGTGATGTCCATCACCTTACTGATCTTCCCAGTTACTTTCTGCTAATACAAAACTCCGTCCCAATCTCATAATCCACCATTTTATGGGACCTACAGAGCCACTCATTAAGCTACATCATTGTCATATGCATCCTTGGGCTTTGCAGTTCCCTACCTTCTTTGGCACAAAACACTTTTCTTGGTGTTGCTTGATGCTGCTTGGCTTATCTTTTGGCTTAAACTTACTAAGGTGTGCAATGGATGTGTTTGGAGAATGACTGATATCTTGATCTTCAAATTAAGTGCATAACATATCTCTTCAGTGACTTTTCTACCTGATAAGGAGTGGAAATGGATATATATATATACAGTACCACAGCAATCAAAATGGGCAACTTCATACTGAAGTTGCCTTCATACTGAATTCATACCTGAATTTATTTGCTGGGAGATAGTTGATTTGAAGTCTCCAGCCCAATCATGACTAAAGCTGATCAAAGTACATGAGCATTTATCAGCTAGCAGCCCAGAAACCAGACTGACACTTGGCTGGCTCATATCTCTTTTTTCACAAGCTTTCACATAAACAAAGCTTTGTAGGGATGAATGCTCAGTGAGAACGGACTTAGTACTACCACTGAGACCTCATCAAGAATCAAAATTAGCATCAGATGGAATAAGCAATTAAAATGCTAACACAATCAGGGATGAGAGAGTACCATGTCAACCATGTGACCAGTCACACATCCCCAAAAGAAAATGGCTTTGCAGACCTTTTGAACACTTGTTATAAATAATTCATGTCTCTAAAGATACATATTTTTTTATGCTAATACTTGTTCAGCTGATCCAAAGAAAAACAAAATCTTTTTTCACAAACTGACAGCAGGTCAAAATTGGCAGAGTGCATTACTTCTCATGAGTATTTAGATCAGTTCTACTGACAACTGAATGATTTTCCAAAAGCACAAACATGCTTACCTGCTTCCGAAAGCCCACAGGTAGTATATGTGTCAGGAGCACTGGCATCTTTGACAGTTCTCCACCTAAAATATACCTTCAAATACAGCACAGGTTTTCTCCTCTGCATCTCTAAAACTCTTGAAAATTATTGATCATACCTGGAAGAAGAATAGATTTCTGAAGAGCAGACTGACTACTTCTTTCTTAGGCATTTGAGTACAAGAAAGCCAGTTGTCCTGAGTACCCATCAATCGCCTTGAAAGCTACCAGGGAGCAGAGTGGAGAGGGTGAATCAAGAGGTGATAACCATGTCCACTGCCTCTCTGTTCATGCCACATGCATTAGGCATGTCACATTTTCTTCCCTGACAGGACCAGTTTACGAGATTCCCACCCTCAACCCCTCCTTCCATCTTGTGCATCACACTTCAGCTGTTCAGCTTTCTGTTGTGCCAGAATACATGTCTTCACAGAGCTAGGATGATTGTTAACATTTTCTTGGTTAAAATATATCCCTTTGAAAGGAAGGCTTATCTCCTTCAATTCTGGGAGAGACGGGAATTAAACAAACCCCAGGGCAGAACTGTTCCTTAAATAAAAGGGCCAGGGAATGTGGTGCTATAATCACTAAGCAAC